TTATAGTTAGTTATATAAACATTTTTTTCACTTGTAAATTGGTATATATTATAGTATTCACATATTTACTATATGTATAGTAAATATTTTTCAAACATACTAATATTATATAATACGTGTTTTAGTCAAATAGATTGTTTCAAATTTTCTATATTATACATGTTTGAAAAACATGTATTTGTTTCTTCTTCTATATTTTATTGTTTGTTAGATTAGTATTTCATTTTTAGATAAAGTAATATAAATAGAGCTTGATTAAATATTAGTATACTTTAATTTGCAAAGATAATATAAACTTCGAAGAAATTTTGCTAAAAACTAAACTTATAGCTTCATAAATTAATATTATAAAAAATTATTAAAAAATAATTTTTAAACAATTTCTTTTTTTTAAAAAAATATAATTTTAAAAATTTACATCGAAATAAATATCTAGTATATATAGCGTGCAAATTTTGTTATGGTATACAAATATTTCATATTACGAATCTGTGATTTTTGTTAATATATTGTGGATGCATTTAACTATTATTGACATATTTCCTTATAAATAATAGAAGATTCCTAAACTTATATCTATTGACATATTTTGCGTGATTAAGTTGGAAGGTGTGGGGGTAATTTACCAAAACCAAATTGTTAAATGTATCTTTGTTATTATAGATATGATTTTTCATAAGATATAATAATAATAAGATTATTAGAGAGTTAATGTAACATGACTTTTTAGTAATAGTCCATTTTAAAAAAATATTACACATGAAGTCATGTCATGACTTCTGTTTTAATATATAAGATATTCTCAATATCTTTTATTAGTATAAGATAGTTAATTTGCTCCACTCATCGCTTCCTAAACAAAACGCTTCGATGTTTCATCACATTTTGTCATAACCTCTCTTTTTTTCTTCTTCTTTTGACTAAACCTTTAGCCATAAACATTTTACATAGGATCTCTTACAAAAAAAAAAAAAAAAAAAAAACCGCTTGTATGTATCCCATAAGAAGAAGTCCAAGCAAGTGATATATCGTCGTTTAGTTCAGGCAACAAGACATGGAACAAAATATGTTCTATCGTTGGAGTTGGTTTCTTTGCAGTTTGATATTTGTATGCCAATCCCGTTCTTGCCACTTGCACTTTTGGAGAAGAAGTTGCTGCTTTGTCCTCAATATTTTGGTAGAACACTGGTGGATACATGATCTTCAAACAAAATCATATGATGCTGTTTTTTCTGCTGAATCCATTGGATATCCTGTTTCCAGAGTATTATCTCTATTTTATAAATTGACATTATTGTTGTTTCCTTCTTCTAGTGAGCTATGAGCAGACATCAGTGATGAGATCTTGCTTTTTGTAACCAAAGATCAGTGTGCACTTCTATCAGTTTGACAACTTTTTTGTTCGGATATATGTGTTTTGAATGAAGGATAGTAATATAGATTTTAGTTTTCGTCATTCATAGTAGTTTTGTCATAACTATACGACGAATGACCTAATGGCACCAAGCAAATTTAATAACAAATTTATCTCCTTTTTGAAGCATCGGCACATGAAACAAGAAGACAAGAGATCTAATAAAAATTAGAGGGAGATTGTATATAGATATCTAAGGTATTTTGGTTTTCTTGCAACTCTACGTATATATAATAATGACTTCCTCTGTAAATCTGTAAATATTATTCTTACAGGGAAAAAAAAAAATATATAGAGTAAGAGATATGCCACATCATTCTTCTAATTGCGTCTGCCTACTTCTTTACTGTTTCTTTTTGTGTTTGATTTCCACAAAAAAAAAAAAGTCGATAGTTTCTTTAGACTTTGAACAATTATAACTCATGTCTATTTTCTTTAGACTCTGAACCAAGACCCAACCGGCTATTTTCTTGTTCGTATTAATGAAAACCAATTTTTTTTACAGATGCATATTATTAAACCGGGAAATTAGCTAAAACCGGTGAATGAAGTTGAACCAGAAGAAACCGACTGATAAATCTCAAAACCGTGTTTTTTTTTACCGTTAACTTCACAAAAGCGTGATCCCTAAGCTACATAAAAAAGGAAATTGGTAAAATCATATTTTCGTTATTTCCTTTTTGCCGAAAACCAAAAATCCATCTTTATAAACAGAGATAGCAGTCTCCTCTCTCTCTCTCTCTCTCTCTCTCTCTCTCTCACCACTTTCCTTCTATCTCTCTCTCGTTTTTGTGTTTTGTCTCTCAACTCAAGAAAGAAAAAAACGATGGCTTTGTCCGATGATCTACCTCCTCAACTCACGAAAGATGTCAAAAGAAGAAACATAAAGAGAAGAACCGTGAAGAGCAAAGACGTTGAAGTGTTGATTAGCGTCGCTACAAGAGCCGCTCATATCGCGAGAGACAAAGGGTTCCACGTCGTCTCTCCGGAAGCGATAAGATGCGTTGAAGTTCTAAGAATGATGCGAAGCATGCCCTTGACTCCTCGGCTCATCACCAAAACAGACCTCTTACGTGTTCTTCAATACCTGGCCACCAATGGTAACCCTAAAATCAGATCAGAGTCGAAATCCGTTCTTAATCACTTGAGGAGTGTTCTTGCGAGTAGTTGAAGAGATTCGCCTAAAGGGTTTTGCTTGGAAGACACGAAGATTGCATACCTATTGTTACGCACACACTCAAGACGTCAGATTTCGTGCAAAAATAAATGGATCCCATTATACAAAATGATCCACAATACTCTACTTTACTTATACTTTCTCCTGTTAAGAAATCAATTCTTTATTATTAAGATTTTTTGTTGTTTTAATATTCATCTCAATTATACTAAACATCATGAAAAAAAAATTATATATATATATATATATATATATGTGTGTGTGTGTGTTTAATATAGAAATAAAAACGAAATATACATATTTTTTAATTTCTAAAAAACTGAATTAAAATAGCATAACTTTTTTCATCATCATGTGAATGCACGAATTATAACTTTATAAAACATCAACACCATCCATAATTTTTTACAAGTGGGATCTATTCATTCCTGAATCATATTTCCTACAAAAACAAGACAAAATTGAAGAAATATATTTTTTTTTTGACTAAAATTGAAGAGATAGATTTGGTGGTAACGTAAAGTTGTATGTTCATTTAGAAAGAAAATGTTACTTTACAAATGGTTCGCAATCGCACTAAAGTTTATCATGAACTCTTACCCTTGTACTATTCCTAATTATAGTATATTTGTTATATTTTCCCATGATCGATGTCATCAAATAGAATAATATATATGATATTTACCCAATTGATATTAAATCACAATACAGAAAAATATAATTTGTTATATTAAAGCAAACAACATGCAAATATAATCTAAGCATCGTAAGTTACAATTTGTTATATTTTGGCATGCTGTCATCTAAAAGATTTATCCAGTTCATATTAAATCATCTATGTATATTATCTTTAAATTGCAGTTGATGTTTATACAATTACTATTCATAACTGTATTAAAAATTATTTTTGAATTGCATCTACCACTGATCTTCATTTTAGAAAATTATGGTAGTTAAATGTGTTTGTTGAGTTGGTTACGAGGACTTGATAAAACAAAAAAAGAAGAATTTTGACCAAAGTTTTTCAAAAGTTAAATTGGTGACAGTGAGTTATTGTTACATGTCACAATAAGTCTACCAAAAATGTCTATGAAATAATGAAACTATATGGCACGAACCGATTTTTTTTTTCTCTAGCTATTAGTCTTTTGTTTTTGAACAGCTCTCTAACCACTGGTCAACTATATTACTTTTACTATATACTTTATTTTTCATATTTGTTATACGGTTTTAAACTTAGAGATCATTACATATTTCCATGCACTCATACCTTAATTTGTATAAAATAGTGAGCGTCAGTTTTGAGATCAATTATAGTTTATTGTTTCTCTACTACTACAATATTACTTTTTCTATATACTATATATTTCATATTTGAAATAGAGATTTAAGCTTAGAAATCTTTATATGTAAGCCATTTGCATATAAGGAATAACCAATCAGTTTACTGGAATTGTGTGATGAAATATCTTTTTTACTTGCTTTCATTCAACTTTTGAAGTTCTAAACGAAAAGAACAAAAACCTTTTTGTATTTTAGGAAAGTGAAGAAAAGAAAGTCAAGACTCATGACACATTTGGATGCATATTTTTATGCACACACTCAATACGTCAGGTTTCGTGTAAAAATGAATGAATCCTACTACACAAAATGATCCACAATACTCTACTTTACTTATACTTTCTCCTGCTAAGAATTCAATTATTTATTATTTCTTCCTGAAACATCATGAATATATATATATATATATATATATATATATATATATATATATATATATGTGTGTGTGTGTGTGTGTGTTTAATACAGTAATAAAAACGAAATATACATATTTTTTTTTATTTCTAAAAAATGAATTAAAATAGCATAACTTTAAACCTTTTTTCATCTCATGTGAATGCACGAATTATAACTTTATAAGACATCAACACCATCCATAATTTTTTACAAGTGGTGACCAAAGTTTTTCAAAGGTTAAACTGGTGACAGTGACTTATTGTTACATGTCACAATAAGTTTACCAAAAATGTCTATGAAATAATGAAACTATATGGCACGAACCGATTTTTTTTTTTCCTCTAGCTATTAGTCTTTTGTTTTTTAACAGCTCTCTAACCACTGGTCAACTATATACTTTATTAACAGCTCTCTATAACAGGTCTCTAGCGTGTTCTAACGCGTATATCGTTACTCTGTCAACATCTAACTAGATCACCAAGTTACTGAAATTAAGAGAGAGAAAAGCACTAGTGGTTAGCATTTTCCATCCCATGCACGTACGCTGCAACCACTTAAAATTGACCTACCTTTCTTACCACGCCACTATATAAGAAAGCTTAACGAGTGTTCATATCGTCACAAGTTACAAAGAATTGAATTGTTAAATCAAAAGAAATTAAGAGTGAGAAAATGGAAGGTCAAGGGGAAGAGATCACGAAGAGTGACAATGAAAGAAGGGAGGTTTCTTGGGATGATGATCTTCCTAGTGATCTCATCATGGAGATAGTCTCGTGGATTTCGCCTAAGGATGCTCCTAGCATGTGGAGCGTCTCCAAAAAATGGAGTGAAGCTTTATGGTCCACTTCTATTGCGAATCCCTGTATCCTGTTTATGTCACCGGACTCTCGTAACAGTACGAGACGGCTTTGGTTCCATACCGTTCTTCAAAATCAGCCAATTCAAAAGTGGAATGAAAACAAGATCGATATGCCTCTGATCGCTTGTCCCTTACAATATATGTCCCCGCAGTCTGTTCGTGGTTGGATTTGTTGTCACGACAAAAAAGGCAAATCGGCCATGTTAAACCCTACTAGGGGAGTATATAGGATGCTACCGAAGGTACTCGAACTAGATGCTTGTGCAGAAACGCATTTCCATCTAGGATACGATCGGGAAAGGCGTGTGTTTAAGGTATTGTGCATAATTTCACGAGGAACCAGGAAGGGTCTTCGAATCCTCAATCTACGAGATGAAAATATGCATTGGAGTGAAGTTCACGACCCTAGTCATGCTTTTGAATCCCCTCCTCCTAGTGACCACTCCGCAATATGCTTGGATGGAAAGATTTATTTGCCATGCGACTACCCATTCAATAGAGTAGCTTGCTTCGACCTCCAGACAGAAAAGTTCGAGATTATTAAGGGAATACCGGATTGGATCAAGGGTTATGACAGGCTCATAAAGGTAAATGGAAGTGTAGCTTTTATCATCAGAGACACTCGTACAGGCACAAGTTCCATATGGACTCTAGACACAGCTACACGAACCTGGTCGAGACGCTACGTGATTCCTCCGCTACCTCCACACTCTCCCAACACCACGTACACCTGTCTCGGTACCATTGGAGGTACCAATAAATTTCTTTTAATCCCTTCTACTCCTTTAACGGAGCCGCTCCATATGATTTACTACGATCCCGAAACAACAGATACACCCCAGAAGATTTTTATCGACTGCCAAACCTCTCCTCCTTCTAGGCATATTGTCGCCAGCCTAGATTTTTTGGAGACGCCAAACTTCAGGTCGAAGCTTGGAAATTAGCTAGTATTGCTTTATTTCAAATAGTTACTGAACGATTAGTTCCAATTAATTTGCTTCTTATATATATATATGTAAAAAGCCAAAAATAAAATATATAGTAAATATGTGAAACATGAATGCAGTGACTTTTCATTTTAACAAAAGCTAATTTGTTTCTATGATTCTAGGATTTTAATTTGTGTTGTTACTTATACACAGATCTCTTGGCGTTGTAGTCATCCTGCTTAAGTCTCACATAGTTTTAGTTGAAATATAAAATATAAAGCTGCTGTACTCACCTTAAACAGAACATATGATTATTTCTTACTTCAAAACCCATATGTTCTTTTTCTTCAAAAAAAAAAAACCATATGTTCGATCATTATATATGTTCACATAACCGGATGTGATGATCAGAGAAATTCGAGAATCAGGTAGGGAGGTTCTCGAGTTTCACTGTCGGATGAAACGTTGAATGACTTGCAACTCTACGTATATAGTACGCAGTGATCCTCTCCGACGTACTCTGCTTTGGCCTTTGCACGAGCGAGTGGTTACTTAACCGGAATTAACCGTCAACCAATTACTTTAACCCGTCGAATAGAGTTTTTTTTCCTCTGCTTTCTCTTTGTTTCAATTTAATAAATTAAAAATAAACGAAATAATACCAATTTGACATCTGACCGACGTTGGAAAAATATTATAAATGATATTCCAATTTGTTTACGATGAGGAGCCCTTAACCGAAATAAGCAATTGCACAGTGAACCGGACATAATCTAGAACCAAACCACATGAGGAGAGTGATGTCGCGCTACTAAAGAGAAATGTTTTATGTGTCAAAAGATTATAGTCAGCAGGAAATGGTAATTTATTATTTCATATTGTTTTTTGAGAAACAAGTAATTTCACAAACTCATCATGTTGGTGACTTTTTTCAGGGGATTCACCAAGTTTAGCAGAACTTTACGAAGTTGAGGCAAAAGAAGCGTGTTGTTCCTGATGGTGTTAATGCTAAGGTATCTCATATGTATTATCAAAACGTTGGTTCTTCTGTTATAGTAACGTCTTTGGTCTGTTGAGTTTGACAATACCCTGGTTCATTTTGCTGTTCATGTAATGCCATGGGCCTTTATGGTTTGCCGGCCACCTATTAGAGNAGAACTTTACGAAGTTGAGGCAAAAGAAGCGTGTTGTTCCTGATGGTGTTAATGCTAAGGTATCTCATATGTATTATCAAAACGTTGGTTCTTCTGTTATAGTAACGTCTTTGGTCTGTTGAGTTTGACAATACCCTGGTTCATTTTGCTGTTCATGTAATGCCATGGGCCTTTATGGTTTGCCGGCCACCTATTAGAGCACCATTATCCCACATACCCATTTAGGGTCTCTTATTTATTTTTTAATACTTTAAAATAGTAAAAGTGAATTAAGAGACAGCATTAAGAAACCTAAACATTTTTATGCTCCATTGCAAGTATCTTAATTAGGGTTTTTAAAAAAAAATTATCAAACATTTTGCATGAATGTACCAGTTTTAATTGCATGAATGTACCAGGAAACCGGATCAAACATTATCAATCTTCTCACTCAACTAGGCACAAAGGATTGCAAAAAGAAAAAGAAGACTAAATTACTTGTACACGGAGAGGTTGTACGAAATTTGACTAAAAGCTTGAGCGTTTTGCTGTAAAAGAGCCATTACTGCATCACTTATACCTGAGACGAAGAGTACAGCAAAGGTAACTAACTGGTAATACTCATCTTTTTTCTATTTGAGACCACAAAACACAGGAGAAGAGAACTAAACCTTCAAAAGGCATGTGTGTACTGCGGTAGTTATTGTTCATGGCATATAAAGCATTTTGCTGAGGCAGATTGGCTACTATGTTCAGTTTTGGGGATGCATCCACCACCTTACATAAAGAAGCATGGTTTTTAAAACCAAGTTCAAACAAAAGCAAACCAAACACATATAATAAACTTTGTCCCAATGTCATAAAAATTATTATCCATCTACACCTTAGAGCTACATCCCTTACAGTTTTATCTGGTGTTCTTTGGCCAATGTAGGATCCAAAATCAATATTCAAAAATATAAACTTTACTCCACTTTCAAGGAGAGCTCAGAAAAACAGAGCACAATGAAGACAACACAAAAAAAAAAAAAAAGCAAAGACTTTCATAGGAGGAAATCAATCCCACAAACAAAAAACAAAACTTTACTCCTTTATTGCTCATAATTCAGAGAAACTATCAAAACCCCTAATGCATCTTTCAACAATCAGCTCAAAACAGAGCACAACAAAGACAATTCAAACACACACATAATAAAAACAGTGACTTTCGTCAATCCCATAAACAAATCCTTGAAGGGTTGAAATTTTTAACGACAATGGAGGAAGAAGAAACAAAACGAAGAGCGAGTGACCAAATATTACCAGTGGTTAACGCCTTAATCATGCCATTCCTGCGATCCATAAAATCCCTAAAAACCAACTCCATCGTGTGTGGTTGTACGCGGCACCACTACCGTCGCCACCTCCTCCGTCCATAATCTAACACAGTAGAAGTATATTTGACTTTCCCTGAAGAATTGGGGAGGAATCGTTGCCATCGAGTATCGTCTACGAGAGGGAGAGAGACACGGAGGGGGAAGAGAGAAAGAGATGAACGCTCTTTAGCCAACACGTGTATCAAAAGACCGTGTCTTCTTTTCTCCTAATGAAACAACGTATCTTCGTATTTAACCTAATTTTCTTTTTTTTTAATTGCTATTAATACGAAGAGACGGGAGTTGCATACCCCGTTAATGATGCTCTTAGAGTTTCAGAGCTAAATTATATCCAGTCATATTTTTTCTGTTTTATTATTTTCTCTTTATTTTGATCAAAACAAAACTATTTTCTCTTTATTAAATCTGTATCTTGATAGTGTATATATGTTTATGGGCAACCCGGCTTATTCAGTATATGGGCCTTGGGCTAGTAATAAATATTTCTCTGAAATTGTAGTTCTCGNTTAGAGTTTCAGAGCTAAATTATATCCAGTCATATTTTTTCTGTTTTATTATTTTCTCTTTATTTTGATCAAAACAAAACTATTTTCTCTTTATTAAATCTGTATCTTGATAGTGTATATATGTTTATGGGCAACCCGGCTTATTCAGTATATGGGCCTTGGGCTAGTAATAAATATTTCTCTGAAATTGTAGTTCTCGTATTGTAAATTTAAAAATTAAGACCCTAATATAGATATCTATTCTATTAAAACAGCAACATGACCAATTGATTTTTGTTTGGTCCAACTAATTATTTATAACTGCATCTAATTAATTATCTAAATATATCATGTAACCCACTTTCTATAACCACCTTCTATAATCCACGTTATAATTAATTGTCTCAACCAAAAACAAGCAGTTACTACTTTTTTTCTTTCAAATAAAAGCTTTGGATTTATCGACAGATCTATGTTTGGAAAATAAACTAACTATCATTTCCGACGATCATCTAATGAAGCATCATGAATCATTGGAACCTCGATTGAAACTGCAAATACAAGTGTTTATCATTATTTGGAAACCGAAAAATGCAACACGATATTGTACTCTGTTTCAAAGATGAAGGTCGAGTTATTCATTCAAAAACTTGAGGAGCTTATGGGTTTAGGTTCCTGTTCAGAAAGACGGTGTGCTTGTGTTAATTTTCAATGGGGCTCAACTACAGTAACAAAATATGATTATATATTTTGGTCAAATAGGTTGTACGAGAATGACGATTCGGGTTTTGTTAAATAATCACAGGTCCTTTAGTTAATTTTTTGCTCACCAACAGAATTATAAAGTATAAAATTAATGTATAAAATAACTATGACACAATTGTATAGTTATGCAACATCACAAATTCAATACATTTATCAAAACTTCTTACTAATAATTTTTAAAAAATATTATAAGCCAACGTATAAAATTAATTTTTTATAACATATAAGAAAAAAATGCAGACAAATGTAATATATTTACACACAAAAAAATAGAAACCAACATTATATCGGAACTCAAAACACAGGTTAAAATCTAAAGTAGATAAATTCGATTATAAGGAAACGAACATGTGTATATAATTATAAAGAAACGAGTGAATGCCAGCGGGTCGATTTTTAAATTTCTTTTATTTTATTAAATAGATTTTGATTAAGATTTAGATTTTAGACACATACATGATTATACAAAAAACACACATAAATATAATTCTAAAAAAAATCCAAATATAAAAATTATATTTTTAAAAGAAAAACAAAACAACACATATACCCGCCCTTTCAAGGGCGGGTCAAGATCTAGTTTTAAAATAAATCAGGACTTTGGACAAAAAATAATAATAATAAATCAGGACCCTACTTTCTTAACAAAAAATTTATTCACTCTTCGTTGGGTTTCTTGAGATGAAACAAAACAAACAGAGAAATAATGGATGTTTGCTTATGAATGTACGTATTACGTTCAAATATAATTTAGTTTTCCATGAAGAGTATTCTTCTCAATCCATGTTCTGTGCTTTAATGCAGTGACTTCCTTTTCATACGTTCTCCTTTTAACATAAGCTAATTTGTTTCTAATTTTGAGATTCTTGTGGTGTTAGTGTGGTACTTATACATACTTGGCATATACGTATTATCCTATATACTTGGTCTTATACATCTCTTGCAGAGTTCAAGCGCTGTAAGAGTATAACCTTTTATTATATCGATAATATCTACAATATAACTATAATTCGACACAATTTCATCAAAAATCATTATTGAAATAATAAGAAAAATTAAAATTATTTGCACTAACCATTATATTATTTATATAAACCGCTAATAACAAGGGGAAATTTGTAAAAGACATAACAAAAAGAGAAATTTTATAGGATTGACCTAAAAAGTTTATTTAACAAATATAGACCTTAAAAATATAAATGACCAAAATAAAATTAAATATATTTTTTGAATATACTTAAATTTTTTTTCAAAAT